GACTGCAGCTCCCACACCCTGGGCCAGCGTGCAAATAGCAGGCTTAGCCCAGGCTGCAGGGTGTCCTGGGCACCTGGTGTCCTGGGAGCAAAGTCTTTGCCTAACATTGCTGAGAAGTTTTTAAAGCGAAAGTACATTGGAGCCTGCAAACAGGACAGACCCAGGGCCTCACATGGGACCGGTCAGGCCTCTAAGCACCGCCTCCCTAACGCCACGGTGCTTTCCGAGGGCAAAGGAAAGGTCAGGTGCCCTTCCGGCTCTGCCAGCCCAGGGTGGCTGTGTGCAGCGGGCTAGGTCCTCTCGGTGCTGCCTCGGGACAGTGTGTCATGGCCGTTCCACAGTGAGCTGGTGCAGCCTGGGAAGGGGCGCCTCACGTCCCAGAACTGTCTGGGCAGGGGAAACAGATGCCAGTCACCCTCCTCCCCTCCCAGCTGGCCCTTATGGGGCCCCTGTCTAGGCATACTCTCAGAATTCTGTTTCAAGGCCAAGCGGATGGGCTGGGCTGGTGTCTGAACGCTGCTCCCCCGGCAGACTTGGGGTCCCAGCACCCACAAGGCTTGGCAGAGACGTAGGAGGCCTCTTCCTGAGACTTCCGCCAGCCCCAGGACCCACAGGGCAGGTTGCGGAGGGGTGGGGAAGGTATCTCCGAGAGAGGAGGCGATGGTTTGGATGGGGAAGGGAGGGTTCTGGTGTGGACATGGGGTGGACAGCAGGACCGTTCGCCAGCCTGGGGAGCGGGAGGTGGATGCAGAGCAGCCGGACTCAGGCTTGCCTGCACCTGTGTCCACTGACTGTGACATTCTGACCCCAAGCACACGTGTGTGCGGCGGCAGCCCAGCCTGTTCCCTCCCCGTTGGGCGGGTGAGCTTCAGGAGGCTACAGGGTGGGTTTCAGGCAGGAAATGCAGAGCCAGTGGGCCACAGCTGAGCCTAGACAGGGTCCTGCCACTCCACCCCTCAGCGCTGCTGGCCTCAGCACAGCCCGTGGTATGGGCTTGGTGTCGTAATCCCATCTCACCCCATGATGGGTTCTGGAGCCGCCAGGGCCTGGCGTCCATCCATACCGGGCAGGGGGCTGGGGCCCGCACTGCCTGGAGAAGGCCCAGCACCAATCCCCGGCCCTGGGTGGGTGAGGGGTCCGCCCCAAGGGGCCCGCTGCTGCCCGGGACCTTGTCGTTTGGCCCTGGATCCAGGGGCTCCTGTGACCATGCCCTCTTCTCGGCTGCAGGTTGGCCACAGGACCTGACGCTGCAGGATGGACGAGTCCCCTGAGCCTCTGCAGCAGGACACAGGGCCGGTGCTGGTCCGACGGCAGCGCCCAGCACCCCAGGGTCTGTGTGAGATGCTGAAGGCCAGGCTGTGGCGGAGCTGCTCGTGCAGCATGCTGTGCGCCCGGGCGCTGGTGCAGGACCTGCTCCCCGCCACGCGCTGGCTGCGTCAGTACCGCCTGCGGGAGTACCTGGCAGGTGACATCATGTCCGGGCTGGTCATCGGCATCATCTTGGTGCCTCAGGCCATCGCCTACTCATTGCTGGCCGGGCTGCAGCCCATCTACAGCCTGTATACGTCCTTCTTCGCCAACCTCATCTACTTCCTCATGGGCACTTCACGGCACGTCTCCGTGGGCATCTTCAGCCTGCTTTGCCTCATGGTGGGGCAGGTGGTGGACCGGGAGCTCCAGCTGGCCGGCTTCGACCCCTCCCAGGAAGGCCTGCAGCCCGGGGCCAACAGCAGCATCCTCAACAGCTCAGATGCCATGCTGGACTGCGGGCGTGACTGCTACGCCATCCGCATTGCCACCGCCCTCACGCTGATGACCGGGCTTTACCAGGTGAGGAGCTCTGCTTGGGCACAGGGAGGGGCCCAGGGCACCCCCCTTAGGTGCTGGCCATCCACGAGGGCAAGGCTGGGGGCAAGCACAGAGTTGGCAGAGGAGGTGCTGGCCCAAGACAGCAAGGCTTGGGCAGAGCTGAGGCGTGCCGGGGCATCCCAGAGAGAGGCACTGACGCAGAGGGGCTGTGGGTGCAGGAGGGGAGGGGCACGGGGAGCCGGCCTACTGGGCCACGGCCTGGGTGGGGGCCAGCAGGCCAGGTGTGGCTGTGGCTCAGTGGTGCCAGACTGAGGCCATGTGGCCTCCCAGGCCTTCTGTCCTAGGTGGGGTGGGGGACGGCCTCCCCATCCCTGAATGTCTCCTGCCTTGGCCTGTCCACATTGGCCCCCATTGGCTCCACATCTGCATGGGGGGTAGTGGGCGCCATGTGTGGGAAGCAGGAGGAAGGGGCTACCTTCTGATGCCAGAGGTCTTAATTCTGAAATAAAATGGACTTCTGCATGTGAGAAGGTTAGATGTGTCTGTGGCCAACTGCGTGCATGTGTGACGCCCGTGTGGATGTCCCAAGTGTCTGCAGGCATGAGCACGCGTGGAGCCAGAACACAGGCCCGTGTGAGCAGTCTGATTCGGAACATATGGTGCTGCAACAGAATTGTCAGGCCCTGTGCCGTGACCACCACCCCTCGGGCCATGCCAGGTGCTGGTGAGGGGCACGTGGCTCCCGCCAGGCGCCTGCTGGCCTGACTGCACTCCGTCCACAGGTCCTCATGGGCGTCCTCCGGCTGGGCTTCGTGTCTGCCTACCTCTCACAGCCACTGCTCGACGGCTTTGCTATGGGGGCCTCCGTGACCATCTTGACCTCGCAGCTCAAGCACCTGCTGGGTGTGCGGATCCCGCGGCACCAGGGGCCCGGCATGGTGGTCCTCACATGGCTAAGCCTGCTGCGCAGCGCTGGGCAGGCCAACGTGTGCGACGTGGTCACCAGCACGGTGTGCCTGGCGGTGCTGCTAGCTGCGAAGGAGCTCTCAGACCGCTACCGACGCCGCCTGCGGGTGCCCCTGCCCACGGAGCTGCTGGTCATCGTGGTGGCCACACTCGTGTCCCACTTTGGGCAGCTCCACAGGCGCTTTGGCTCCAGCGTGGCCGGCGACATCCCCACGGGTTTCATGCCCCCTCAGGTCCCGGAGCCCAGGCTGATGCAGCGTGTGGCCCTGGATGCCGTGGCCCTGGCCCTCGTGGGCGCGGCCTTCTCCATCTCACTGGCGGAGATGTTCGCCCGCAACCATGGCTACTCTGTGCGCGCCAACCAGGAGCTGCTGGCTGTGGGCTGCTGCAACGTGCTACCCGCCTTCCTCCACTGCTTCGCCACCAGCGCCGCCCTGGCCAAGAGCCTGGTGAAGACAGCCACTGGCTGCCGGACACAGCTGTCCAGTGTGGTCAGCGCCACCGTGGTGCTGCTGGTGCTGCTGGCGCTGGCACCGCTGTTCCACGACCTCCAGCGAAGCGTGCTGGCCTGCGTCATCGTGGTCAGCCTGCGGGGGGCCCTGCGCAAGGTGTGGGACCTCCCACGGCTGTGGCGGATGAGCCCGGCCGACGCGCTGGTCTGGGCGGGCACCGCGGCCACCTGCATGCTGGTCAGCACAGAGGCCGGGCTGCTGGCCGGCGTCATCCTCTCGCTGCTCAGCCTGGCCGGCCGCACCCAACGCCCACGCGCCACCCTGCTGGCCCGCATCGGGAACTCGGCCTTCTACGAGGATGCCACAGAGTTTGAGGGCCTCGTCCCCGAGCCCGGCGTGCGGGTGTTCCGCTTTGGGGGGCCGCTGTACTACGCCAACAAGGACTTCTTCCTGCGGTCACTCTACAGCCTCACAGGGCTGGACGCGGGGTGCGTGGCTGCCAGGAGGAAGGAGCGGGGCTCAGAGTGGGAGGTCGGCGACGGAGGCCCTGCCCAGGGCAAGGACCTGGGCGCGGTTAGCAGCAGGGCTGCGCTGGCGCCTGCGGCGGCCGGCTTCCACACAGTGGTCATCGACTGCGCCCCACTGCTGTTCCTGGACGCAGCCGGCGTGACCACGCTGCAGGACCTGCGCCGAGACTATGGGGCCCTGGGCATCAGCCTGCTGCTAGCCTGCTGCAGCCCCCCTGTGAGAGATGTTCTGAGCAGAGGAGGCTTCCTCGGGGAGGGCCCTGGGGACGTGGCTGAGGAGGAGCAGCTGTTTCTCAGTGTGCACGATGCCGTGCAGACAGCACGAGCCCGCCACAGGGAGCTGGAGGCCACTGATGCCCACCCGTAGCAGGGCCAGGCCTGTCCAGCAGCCTCTGCTCCCTCCAGGGGCGCCCACAGCAGACGTCTGCAAGCCACTGCTGAGACCCTTCCCAGGGAGGAGCCGCCCAAGAGCTGCACTCTTGTGCCACAGCTGCCCTGGGAAACCGGGGAACCCCGACTGGGTAAGGAGGCCCTCTGATCACACGCAGGACCCAAACACTCAGAAATCAAGAACTTCTGCCTCCAAGACAGGCTGGCCCATAGTGCTGGCTGGGTCTCAATGCTCCACACCCTCGCTGTCCCTCGGCTCAGCAGGGATGGGTCTGGCCTGACGCTCGGGGTTGACATCTTATTTGAACAAGGGCCCCCCAACATTATGCAGCCTCCAAGGTGCCAAGAGGACCCCCTATGCCCTGGCCTGCCTAGTGCCCATCCTGCTGGTAGGAGCCAGCGGCTCCGGCCAAGAGCATGAGGGTCTCTGTGTTTCCAGAAGGCCCCACACACCCAAGTGCCCCTCACACCTTGTGCCTCCCTGTCACAGGGTGGCCACCTGCACCAGCATCAGGGCCCAGGGTGCTGTGACCAGTTAAGACCTCCCCTCAGTTCTCAGGTGCTGGCCCTGCCCAGCCCAGTCAGCAAACACACACAGGGATGCTCATGGGTGCACGAGGAGACAGGTGCGGCACAGCCCACCCTGAGCTTCCAGGGAGACCTGCAGGAAGCCCACCGTGCCCCATGCAGGGGCTCCCTCCAGCACACAGCCCTCACCCCAGCACAGCCAGCAAGGACACGGTGCTTCGGCGGAAAGTGGGGAACAAGGGGTCTTCTGAGCAGCCCCCAGCCCTGCCCCTCCCGTCTGTGCCTCTGTAAGGGGCTCTGGGACACCCAGGCCCCACCCGTCGCCCACCTGGTGGTGACAAGCTCCAGCAGCCAGTGGGTCCGGACCTGCTCGATGCCACGGTGAGGGACGGCGCCCACATAGGCGAGGTTGAGTTGCTGGTCCCAGCTGAGGACGTACTGGTCAGCCTGTCTGTGTGGCAGCGGGGGGCTGGGGACAGCAAAGGGGCGGCTCAGTCCCGAGCCTCAGCATGGCTGGCAGCGCGGCCCACACACACGTTCAAGCCCAGGACTGCCCGGGCGCGGGATTCAGGCGCTGCGCGTGCGCTCAGTGACTAATAAAATGACCCTTAGGGCCAAGGATGTTGGGAGGTCCCATCTTCCTGCGGAACGGGAGCGGCCGTAAGACGAGGGGCCAACGCCAGCCCTGGCCCCGGCCCTGCCAGGCAGGCGGGCCCTCAGCTCTAGGTGGAGGGAATGGGACAGGCAGGCCAGGTCCCGCTGCAGGGGCGTCCCACTCCCGGGAGACTCCTGGTTTACCTCAAAGAGCAGGATCCTGGGCATCGGTCTGGGCTACAGGGGGCGGCCACTGGGCAAGCTCAGGGCCCAGCCCCAGGCTCACGCCCTGGCACCCACTCAGCTGGAGAGCCCACCCCCAAACACGGCGCGGGGCGGGCCCGGGAGAGCCAGGGCCCCAGAGGAGGGAGCTCCGGTCTCTGAAGCTCTCACAGTGCGCAGTCAGGGGGCGCCCGAGCCCTCCCCGTGCGACCACAGGG